AATATTAAATTCTACAAAAAGTATTTGAAGCTTTATATCTTCTATTAATTATCTGCGAGCGCTTTCGACAGTTGGTAGTACTGTCATCTTCTAGGCACTCCTCAAACTCTAATTGTTCATTTTTGTTTTCTAATAATCAAAAATGTATTCACTTTTAATCTTCAGTACGATCTGAGAATTATCAATTTAGCATTAACTAGGTTATATTCCTTAAAAGAATATTTATTTATGTTTTCTATTAACCATAAAAGTTATTGACTAGCCTTGATCTCCAGTTTAATCTGAGATTGATCGATTATGTAATAGCAACGGTTGTATCCCTTGCAACGTAAGTGCATTCAAAAGTAAGCAATGTTTTTTTTGTGTTTTGTCATGACATTCGGTTGTCAAAAAACAGATGGCAGTCTGCACCTTCCGGTGACGATTGTCATCACAGAAATGTAACTGGAAATCAATAAAGACCTTTATTATAATTATTGTATTTTCTAAAATATTAATTACAGGTAGCGGAAACTCCCCAAGAAATCCCCTTCCTCAGTATTCTTCAACATCTCCTTAGAATCGACCCGAAGGAAGCTGTAATTTCATTAAAGCAAAAATTAAAAGAAGATTCCAAACCAAGATACTTCACGACGTTTCGATTGTTCGATTGTTTGTATCCACAATCGTCTTCGGGTGGCAACTGTACGTATTCCTCCGAGATCTGACTATTTGAAGGTCATTTGAGTGCTTTCATCTATCCCCTCTTCCCTCTCTCCGCTTCATTGGTTTTAACGGAAGCTGACCGTTTGGCGGGAGTTGGTCATGTTCCGCTTGATTAGAGGTTTCCATATGTTGCGTATCTCTACGCTAGTTTGGCTAAATGAGTTGTTGGACAACATATATGCGACTTCTTTGAGTTTTCTCCTAAACCAGTGTTCTTCCTTGTGGATGATTTCAGCTTGAGCCCACTTGATGTTATATGTTGTTGAGTCCAAACGTGCTCTGCTATTCCTGGTTTGCTGGTTTCTCCTCGCTGTGTGTGTTTCTTATGCTCGGCAATGTGAACTTTCAATGGCCTCTTAGTTTCACCGATGTATGATTCTCCGCACTCGCACGGTATCCGGTGAATGCAATTCTTGTGAGGCTGCTACGGATAGTGTTCCCAGATCTGAAGCAGGTTCTGATGTTATACTTATATCCAATCCTTTCCGACAATCCTCTGATTGAGGGAAGTACAAACACTGGTTGTGGCGTTGTTGTTGTGGCTAGAAGACAGCAAGAGCTACACAAGGAAGAGAAGTCAAATAATAATAAAAATTTGTTTTCTACGGGTTCTTCATCACAGGAGTGATGGAAAACCAGGGGTTGAGTCCTTTAGGATTTGTTCATGAAGAAAAAAAAACAGTCTTTTTGTATTCGTTTGAGAAAGTCCTTGCAGGACGACACTGCAGTAACGTCAGTTACAAATACAAGTGGTTTCAAAACAAAAGAAGTTTTATTTCTCATTTTTCATTGTAATTTTTCAATTTGAGTGTACTTTTGCATTGAAATAAAACTTGATAGGATAAATTCGCAATATAAATATCAATATCAATAAATATCAAAAGTTCAACACAATTCTGTAGTGGGGTTTTACATCCCCCGTAATTTTACAGCGGAATTTCACACTCCAACATAATTTTTCACTACAGTTTTTCATTGAGCGTTTCATCACCTTCTGATATTCCGTTGCGAGTAAGTAAAAATTCATAGTAATTTTTCACAACTCTTTATTGTCTGAACTCAAAAAAATTGAACAATAAATCCGAACAGTTGATAAAATGAAAACAGCACAGAAATATTATAGACAAAATTTTTGAAAAACTCAAAGACAGTTGAGTCGTCTCCAAGGACCGCAGTTGTTGATATAAAAATGAAGCGCAACATGAAATGTTATTTATCATCAAAATTCATTTTCAGAATGTATAATTTATACGAGACACCGATGGCTCACTAGGTATAAAAGGGGAATAACCTGTATGTTGTAACTTTTTGTATTTGGCTAGATTATACGGATGTCTGTTGGTACACTCACTCTATACCATCTGAAGCATCAAAATTGTGATTTTTTTTTAAATTACCAGATCACTTTGAAACCATTTCTATAAAATAATCACTAAAATGTAAATTTAACACATATTTTATACCTGTGATGAGATAATTCAATTATTACCAAGCAGTGTATTGTAGAAATTTATATGAAAAGTTTTTTCTACCAAACCAACCAGGATATGATGAGCTTCAGTCATATCATATCAAGACATAATACTGAAAACGTCTGTTTGATGTATAATACAGTTTTTGATAAAATTGATTATTACTTGTGGTATAGAGATCACAAAAATGATTGAAAATAATAATGATACACTCAAACTTACACTGTCAGTAAACTACAATGAATTTTCTTTGAGTTTCCTACGTTTCGCCTTCATAAAACTAAAACAATTTATCTTCAGGAATTTCATTCTGATATCACAAAGGAACTCAATATTTCAAAAAATGTTTCTTCAATAGTGTGTTGTAGAATAACAGTTAATTCAAAGCGTTTCTTGTAGGTCCAGCGTTACCTCCTCCTCCTCCACCACCTCCAAACATCCCAGCACCTCCATGCATACCTCCGACGATTCCCACTCCTCCACCCCCTCAACAAAAAATAAGATCACCCCACCCACCTCAAAGTGAAACTGAAACTGTGATAGAGAAATTACCCCAACAAGAAATACCTGTACCTAGAAGCAAAATGAAAACTATCAATTGGAATAAAATTCCCAATAACAAGGTTTGTTGTCAATAATCGAAAAACATAATTAAAAATCTATTTTCCAATAATTTTTGCTAGGTTATTGGTAAAAATAACATTTGGACCCAAGTGGCTTTTACTCACCAGAATTCTCCGATGGCGGATATGGACTGGTCTGAAATGGAAGGTCTTTTTTGTCAACAGGCTCCTGCTTCGGCCAATTCTTCGCCAAAGTTAGGTAATAGGGACCCTTCGAATAATTCTGATAAACGAGTGAGAAAAGATAACTCCGAGGTAAGATGTTGTCATTTGAATCGTCAGGGCTAGTGATAATTTTCTTCTCACACCACACATTCTTTTTTTAGATCACCCTTTTAGATGGTAAAAGAAGTTTGAACATCAACATATTCCTGAAACAATTCAGGAGGTACGTATCTGCATTTGATTCAGTTTCAGTCATTTTTTTAATGTATGTCAGGTGGAAATATGATTTAGAAAAAAAAAAGAAAACAACGAAATATCAGTTTTTGAGTGCATCATCGTGAAGAAAGTTAACCAAGACCACCCAATTATGCAGAAAAAAAAGAGAGAAGAGAGAGGGAATACAAGTAAAATATGAAGCCGAGGGTGTTAGTAACTGAGTTGAAAATGAGTTAGAAGGTATCAATAAACTAGTTATAGAGAAAATAAGAGTTTCAGCAAATTGAAATTTCAAATAGAACAATGTTCCCAATCATTAAGTACTTTCCTACCGGTATTTCCAAAAACAGGTTTTCTACCACTACATCTTCTGATTGGTAAAAAAATCGGCCACTTCACTAGATTTGTTAGTGCGAGAGAGCGAGAGCAGGAAGGAGAGGAAACTCATATTGGAAATAATTGGCCAGAGATATCTTCTAAAAAACAAAGTCGAGAATTCGAAAAAGTCTGGAATTCAAGAAATCAAATGTAAGGACTGCGGTGCAAAATATTATGGACAGACTAAAAGATCTATCAAAATAAGATGTAAGGAACGCTTAAAATATGGAAGACCTGAAAAATCAGCAGTCGCCCGTCATACTTTGCAATAAAACCATTCCAAAGACTTTAGTTCATTAAGATTAGTTAAACAAGCTAACAACAGGCATCTAGATGATTATGATAGTGTAGAAATAAGTAAACATTATAATATTATGAATAACAGTGGTGAACCAATACCTAATAGTATACTATATAGCTTGTTGAAATAATATTTTAATTATTAGATTCACCTGACTATTACATAAGAACACATCGTGAAATTAATTTAAGATTAATAGATAAGGAAATGAATATTACTGGAGTTTTTTCCCAACACCAAATCGTTGTTTTTTACACCTCGACACGTGTTTCGATCACCAAGTGATCATCTTCAAAGAGAAAGATTAAAACTCAGGTTTTCTGAGTTTTAATCTTTTAACGGCAAAGAAATGATAGATAAGCCTTCATCAACATGGAATCCACATACATTAAGATCCTTGAAGTGGAATAACTAATATTGTATTAAGGGATTTATCCTTCCTTTGAACAGCACGGGAACTGGTTTGACTACATCCAACAACAGGAGTAATATGAATGGAAAAAACATTGCTCTTCAACGACACATCTTGAAAATGAACCCTTGCGTATTTTATGTACCATATTGCGCTCACTCATTGAAATGAGTTGCAAACTATTCTGCAGTTCTGCTGATATACCAGTTTATCAGGAAGTATTGGCAATTTCCCACAAGTTGAATCTGAAGGGCTTGTCATCTAAATTGGAACATTCTCATTTCTGGCATCTCTTGTAGTGTGATAGAAGGTTTTGTGAGTCAATGAATGAGGAAGGTTTTGAGGATATGTTGGCAGAACCTAGACCAATTGCAGAATATCTTGGTATTTCAGCCGCATTAGAAACAGAGTCAATGCCAAATCGATTGGGAAAACGCAGACAAAGCTATTTTCATACTAAGCAAGAGATGAACCAATCCAAGATGCTTTAGAGAAGTTTAAGATAACATATAATTTCGCGGTTCTGGATACAGCCATAAACTCAGTTGATGAGCGTTTCAATAAAATGTAAGAGATATTTTCAAAATTTCGGATTTTTGTACCATAAAGACTCATTGGAAAAAACACACCCATTGTGTTCTTGACAGTGTATGAATCTTCAAGAAACAACGATTCATAACAAGTTCAAAGATATTGATGGATTAGAGTTATATGATACACTTCAAGCTATTTTAAGATGTGTCTCAAAACACTTAATGCTAAAAACTTACGTAAGGTCGTGTATGATACAAAAGTTGGCAGACTGGTAATAATTTGAATCTAACAAGAGTTGGAACATCGATCTAAGCGAATTAATTTCAACCTTTTCCGAGCTGAAGTCCAGAAAACAAAAAATGTGAATTTAATCGTTGCTTACGTCATAAGCAATGTCAATGCATTTCAATAGTTTTCTGAAATGAATTCATTACTAATTGTATAGAGTTTTTGTTCCCGAAAGTGAATGGTTTTAAAAACAATCAAACTACTGATGACCATTTAGAATTATGATTTGAGGTTTTTGATAGTTCTGCTTATGGCACCAAAATCTTTCACGCCGATCCTGGCACCATCCTCGATTATGAAGAAACCTGTTCTACCGAATTCTAATTGTTTTTTGTTGGCACTCCGGTTGAGTCATTTGTGCCTAGAAGTTATTTCGTATTTCTATTTAATTCAATTTGATCGAGCAGAGACTGTACTTGGGTAACTGAGGTACGGGGTGACTGCGGCTCGTGCTTATAGAGTTAATTCTTAGTCGCAAGTTCGGGAAGTTAGCTTTTTAGGATATGAGGCATCTATCCCTCTGGGGCATCTATCCCGGTTTTACCCTATCCCAGAGGAAATGACTTGGAAAAAAATTTATCGCATTTCCAAATATGTGAGAACATTTTCGTTTTGTTGTTGCCAAAGATCTCTGTAGAAGTTTTTCAGTGAAAACCACTGTGTCTTCACCAATCATTCGTAGAATCAGAGTAAGTCGTTTTACAGATTCACTAGGAATATAACAGAAAATAATCAATGTGTGAAGTCTATTTGGTATTTCTTTCAAAAATTTACGGGAGACGGAATACTTTAACATCGGCGTCGTTAGTTGTGAAAATTATTGCAGCGTAAACTATTGATTTAAAAAAAATTCTGTGCTATTTCCCAAAGTCAATCCTTCATGTTGAAATATTATTATTATTTTTTACCCTATCAAATACAGATTTTACAAAAATTAGCTTTTCGTGAAACATTTTTTTTTTGAGGATAGATGCCTACCTGTATGGATAGTTGCCCCACCATAAAAATAGTTAGAAGGAAAGTTGCATGCAGTGCAGGATAGATGCCATTCATACCGTGTAGGTGAACAAAAACCCAAACCAAATGTTAGGGAGTTTCACTCCTGAAACAACAATTGTCTCCAAACACATGAGTCATAATTATAAAAATCATTTTGTATTCTTGTAAGTCTTTTAATTGTTATCATTGGAAAATAATTTTAATATCACATTAATGATCATAATAAAATTTTAAAGCGTTTGCACCTTTTTTTGCTAGGACTTTTCCGGGTTTATTATTTAATTGAATTCCGTATTTATCCATATTGTAGATCTTCTCTGGTTTGGCCAATAGCTCATTTTGGGTCAGAACTTTGATGAAAAGATCATAGAAGTTATTGACTTCTTCTCTACTAAGACCTTTAGCTCTAGCCACGGATAAACCTTCAGCTTGTCTGATAGACAGTTCTGGATTTCGTTCAATAAAACTTCTGAACCATACACCTCCAGCCATTTCGTTTTCGTGGTCCAGCGTGGTCCAGGTTCGTTGTATTCCAGCTTTTCAGCAAATTGATAAGCATCCTGTATCAATACAGTCCTGTATCAACGGCTTGAGAATGTGCTTTACTAGCCTTTTCTCGTTGTCAAAATCCAAAATAGGACGTTTTACAAAAAAAATGCTTACGATAATGGATCTATTAGAAATTAGAGACAGCAATTATTTACTTGTGATACACTATTTGGAACCTTTGTTGTAGTAATGAATATTACTGGAGTTTTATACCAACATCAAATCGTTATTGTTAGCACCTCTTTACGTGTTTCGATCACCAAGTGATCATCTTCATGAGAAAGACTAAACTACAGTTAAGTCTTTAGATCTTCAAGAGGAAGACTTAACTACAGTTTAATCTTTAGATCTTCAAAAGGAAGACTAAACTACAGTTTAGTCCTTAGATCACCAAGTGATCATCACTTGATAATCGAAACACGTGTCGAGGTGTTCAAAATAACGGTTTGGAGTTGGGATAAAACTCGAGTACCTAATATTCAACAATTAGTTAATTGAAAGTTTATAATGTCCTGTAGTACATGGTCTTTATATATACCCAGAGTCGACTTTGTTGTATTTCTAGCAGTATATCGTCTTCACAATGTCCTCGATGTGTGAAAAATTTACGGGAGACGGAATACTTTAACATTATTGCAGCGTAAACTATTGATTTTAAAAAAAATCTGTGCTATTTCCCAATACCAATTTGTAAACGAATTATTATTTCAGCTCAAATGAAGCTATCATTCACTTGATTCGAGAAGGAGAACATGACGATATAGGAGCAGAAAAACTAAAAGGTCTTCTGAAACTTCTACCGGAAGTGGATGAATTAGACATGCTAAAGTCTTTCAATGGTGATTTCGATAAACTGGGCAACGCTGAAAAGTTTTTGATCCAACTCACAAACATACCAAAGTGGGTACAGACTATTCTAATAAATAATGAAGTAAACACTGTTTTGTTACTAATATCGATTCGTTATATTCCAGTTATAAGTTACGAATTGAAAGCATGTTACTCAAAGAGGAGTTTGCCGCCAATATGGGTTACTTAGCACCCAGCATAAACTCTATGATAGTTGCAGCTCAAGGTAAATTGAAAAAATAATACTCTTTTCCATAATATCAATCGTGAAATTTTCAGACCTGATGACAAATAAACCATTACAAGAGGTTTTGTACATGATAGTTATTGCTGGGAATTTTTTGAACTCGGTGAGTAACTTGAAAAAAAGTGTTATCACTTCAATATATATATTTGAAATTGTAGGGTGGTTATGCTGGTAATGCAGCTGGGGTAAAGTTGTCTTCCCTGCAGAAAATTACGGATATTAGAGCTAATAAACCAAATATGAATCTCGTACACTTCGTTGCTTTGGTAAGACATTTTTAGATGTTTGAATTTTTAAAAAATTCGCTTTGGCACCACATCAAATTTGAACTTGTTAAACAAACATTTCAAGGAAATTGAAATCGAGCCAATCAAACTAGACGGGTTTTTATTTGTTATACCCTTTTTTGGGATATTCTCTGTGCCTACGAGTATTTTTTTTGAGAGGTTGAAATTATTTCTAGTTAATGAAAGGGTGCCAATTAGTTTGAGCTCATACGTGAAAATTTAGACTATATATAATTAATTAACTAATTAATCAATTATAATTAGAAATAGATGGAGTATCAAAAGAAGAAAGAGTATTGTTGAGACTTTCTGATTGATTCAACCGTTACTTGATGAAGATCCATAGATTGTGGAAATCAAATCGTGAGGTGTAGTTTTTGAAAATATTGTTGAGACTTATAATATCTTCAAATAAACATTTTACATATGTACAATCAAAAAAAATCAAAAAAAAATCATGAATGATTCGCAAGATGTCCCCAATTATAGCAATAATTTTTTTATATATATAAATACACCTCATAAGCAATAAATATAAATATTTACCATAGCACTCCCATATGTATGTTCATGCTTTACACTATAAATGTATATCTTAATGAGAATGATATATGATCTTTTAAGCTTTGAATGTAACTTTTCAAAGAAATGAAAAACAAATGTCACACCTTGCCAAAATCATCTGCAAACCTAATAGTTGAAAAATTGCGGACTCCATTCATAAACCATATCCTAGATATTAATATTGGTACTTCAACTCGGTGGTCTCAACAACGATGATTCATAACAGATTGACTTGAATGAAACAAGGAAAGTTTACCTTGGATTTTTTGTGGCCTCAAAGTGAGATTTAGTATTTAACTTTCATATAACTGTTTCAATAACTTCTTCAATTTCATTGCCTCTACATGTAGTTGTGTTGAAATTGTGATTTGGTTTGCTTTGTATCCTTCAGGGTATCCTTTTAGAATGCGGTATTTTGCCAACGAAATGGTTTTGTTTAATAAAATTGTAAACTAATATTCAACCTCCCCTTTTCAGCAAGCTGAGAAGAAAAACAAGCATTTACTTTCATTCACTGACAACATAGGAGTATTAGAAGACGCTGCTAAGTGAGTTATTTATAATCATAATGAATCGTTTGAAACATTTACATTTAAAAACATTTATTTCAGAACAACCGTTGAACAACTCCATAACGAAATCAACGCATTAGATGTAAGGATAAAGAAAGTGAGAAAACAGATCGAACTCCCCACAACTGAGTTAGAGATCAAAACGCAAATGACAGATTTTCTGCAAGTAAGTAAGAACATATTATTTCGAAAATTTTTCACAGTATGGTTCTTTTTTCTGTTCAGATGGCGGCAAGAGAGGTTGCAAGTCTTCAAAGGAACTTAGTGATACACTTCAAGCTATTTTAAGATGTGTCTCAAAACACTTAATGCTAAAACTAAAGCTCCAACTCGTAAAAACTTACGTAAGGTCGTGTATGATACAAAAGTTGGCAGACTGGTAATAATTTGAATCATTTTCACAGTATGGTTCTTTTTTCTGTTCAGATGGCGGCAAGAGAGGTTGCAAGTCTTCAAAGGAACTTAGGCGAACTAGAACACGTTCGACGGGAGCTGTCTGATTTCTTCTGCGAAGACATCAACTCTTTCAAACTAGAAGAATGTTTTAGGATATTTCACGGGTTCTACTGCAAATTCAAACAAGCTGTATCTGAAAACGAGAGAAGAAGATTACAAGAAGAACAAGCAAATGAGCGGAGAAGGCAAAGAGAAGAACTGTTGGCGACGAAACGAAAACAAAGTAGTAGATAACTCAAAGTATCAGCTTTACCCAGCATTACTTCATTTTGTTTTTTTTTTAGTGGGTAGTATGGCTGGATCGCCGGACTCCGATTCGTTCAGCATTGATATGCAAATTTACGATACCAGATCATGTTATCCGATGAAAAAGGGGAGAAAAACCGGAAACGGTAGCGGAATATCGGAGGATGAAGCATCTTTCATGGGTTCACCAACTTTCTCCAGGCACAGACTTGGTTCTTTCAACGGAAATGGGGCGGATACGATCACCAGCGGAAAAGAAGAGAAATCACCAGGTGAGCCAAAGCCAAACACAGCTCTATTCAACTCAACCAGAGGGAACACGAACAATTATCAGTGATTTTAGTTCAATTTATAATAATAATAAATACTTTTGTTGAAAGGTTACTCAGTACAAGAGATACTAACCTAACAAATGGCAGAATTCAACATGTGCACATGATAAATCAAGGCAGATATTGCTCTTCCATCCAAGCAGTAACAGATTACTCATATTAATACAAAATATTTGCAATAAAACTTGATGAAAAAAATAGAAGGAAAAAACAGAAAAAAAGAAAAGAACGGGTGAAAAGCAGGAAAGAGAGGCGAAAAACTAATAGATGAGAATTTGATATTTTGAATGTGAAAAGCCATGTCATAAACATAAAGTAAATTTAATATTGGTTAATAAATATCATGTATAGGTATCAATTGATCAAAGTTTATGAAAGAATAGAACCGGATTGAAACATATCTCTTTTGATTTTTGTTGAAATTAACTAGTGGTAGTGATTTCAATTCGATGGGTAGTCGATTAGGTATATTTCGTACCGAATTCTTCTGTGTACTTGTTCCAACCACTACTTGCCTTTTTTTTTGTTCTGCATAATTTTCATTAAAGCTATATATTCGTTCTGGTGGTTAACATATGCCCCCTTTTTTTTTTCATGTCAATAATATCAGCATCATGTCTTTGCAACATTGATGAAAATATTGAAAATAATTTGAAGATGAAGCAGAAACTTCACAGTACCTAATATGTACCAGGCACCAGGTACCATGTCTTTGCAACATGGATGAAAATATTAAAAATAATTTGAAGATGAAGTAGAAATTTCACAGTAATATGTACCAGGTACCACTCATCACATCACTCTCGTCATCAATCTAGAATATCAATCAGGCTGAAATAGAATCGGTGACGAGTTGAATTTATATTATGTAGAGTAAACCGCTCATATCATTATATGCTTTGAATTTGAATTCACATTTTCGTTACTGTACAATTCATACAAATTTTGAAACAACATTGGATTGGATCTCGTTGTTGTAGCCACCTATCAACAACGTAGACCAATCCGAAAAATCAATCTTAAGTGTAGACCAATCAGAAGTGAGCATTCTTATGGACGGTCCACACCCATAAATACGAGTGCATACTGAGCTCTCCAGTCAATTGTTGCTCAGACTTCGAAATACTACCTTCGTCCACACCACTGCAACAGTAGCAGACGAAACGTTTTATACTACTAGTTCCTTTCAAACACGGTCTGCCAGCTCGGATTTCATTCTATCCAAACTGATTTTCTCTTTTTATTCACAACAATAACATTTCGTAATGAATGGGCTCAAATATATTTAACTTTATGTCAACAATGAATTTATGCATACTTACTCATGATACTAACCAAATAGTATATTTTCTTTCAAACATTACTATTTAAGGATGTGTTCATTATTTTTATATCTTCAAGAGACCAGAAGAAGGTTGTAAACCAATTCAACTGGGTTTTCGTTTCATTTACCAATATTTTCAATTTGCGTAGTTTCTTTTCATCACTTCCTGGTTTTCTTGGTCGTCTCAACTCTAAAGATGATGAGGTACGAAATCAAAAGCTTTACTGATATGAATAAACAACATTGCTAGGTGTATGATAACGACTATTGTCAGTCTCTAAGTAGTGTAACATCGTGAAGCCACGTTTTCATGATTTCACACAAAATTCCAAGTAGATAGGTGGGGTTCAAAGAATATTAAAAATGTAAAGTTCACATCACGTCGTTTTGCAGATATAACACCCAACGGCAGTCTGCGCAGGCGCCGAAGTCGGGTGCTTTCTGAAGACGACGAGGGAAATCTAATGGACTTCCTGAGGGCTTCGGATAACAATAGAGAAAGGAAGTCGTGGGGTAGTTTGGGTGAGAAATATATCTTATTTATTATGAACTGGTTTCAAACTAGCAATTTCAGATCGTTCTTGGGCAAGAAAAGCTCGCGGAAGTGGCTCTCGAAAACGCCCCGCCTTACTTTCCGCCGATTTTTCTTCGGAAAGAGAAAGACCCTCCTCACCATCTCCTTTAACAGAGAACAAGCCCATCGTATCGGCACCTGAAGAAGAAACAAAACCCAAAGAGTGGAGGCAGAAAATCGAGTCATGGCTACAAGCTAATGAAAGCGATAACGCAAGCGAAGAACAAAGAAGGCAAGCCAGAAAAGTTACCAACAGGAGGTCGTTCGAATTGGATTCAGGTGAGTTTTTCGAAAAAGTATTAAACCATTTTTTTTCTAAAATAACTTTTTTTCTAGAGAGTGAACGTAGTAGTACTTTAGATACACTGCCAGAAGGAAAACAGGTACACAGCGGTGGTCAATTGAATCACAGGAAAACATACACATCTTGGAATCCGTCCAGTACTATCGAAAGTACCGATGTCGTCAGTGCCATGGAAGCAGTTGAGGGTACGTATATTTCAATTAATCATCAGAACCATTGAAGATGTATCCGAATCGAAATAATCTACAAATCAAAGAATCGCATTACGAATGAAACACTGAAATTTATAAGGCTTCATAAAATATTTGTCAGCCAATGAGGCAATATCATCCAGGCTTTCCAGAATTTATCCTCTGAACTTGACAGTGTTCTTCTGAATACGTTATTGATATTAGCAAATCTAACCAATCCTCCCAAAAAGAAAGGAAAATCTTCCAATGAGAGAATAATGGCGCATATTCTCCTGAGGTAACTGTTATTGAGTACGGAGTTTTTGACGAAGACTTTGAATTTATTATGTTTATTATTTGCGCATGTAGCTTTTTCTTTCTATTATCTGAGAGCCGTCTGACTTGGCCATTTCTCCCAAGTCTCCGAAAAACGCTGCAGCCTCATGGGCTTATTGTGATTCCCACGAATCTTTTTTATGAAGCCATTTCAATCTTGTTCCCTGTACTAATTTGTACAGGTCCCTTGCTGGATATATGTCATATTCTTCTAGAAATAATTTGCTTTCTGTGATCCAATGCCTCACATTCCCATAGAATATGACGAGCTCATCCCTGCTTTGTTGAAGCAGTTCTCTTCTAAGGCGGTCCCTTCATGAAGGTTTTTGCGTGTATGTTCCCGGGTCTGATTTGGTACCCTCACAACTGGTTAAGGGCTCATATATTGAGATGATGATCCGTGTCTAGTATAGTCAATCATTTCTGTCCGCCAATTTTCTCAATTCTTCATGGCATTCCCATACCGGTCTCGACTCAATACAAAAAAGGCTGATTCCTTTGCCCTTTTGAAGGTCTTTCTAGTTTGTTATTTCATCAGTGCCAGATCTTTATCCACCAGGAAACATTTCTGTTTAATCTCTGGTTGACGGTGCCGGTGGGACGTTGTACATTGAGGTAATAACTCACAATAATCGATTCACTGCTAACTCAAATTCTGTACAATTTCTCATTACAAAACCTCTCTGGTCTAAAAATATTTCCAGATATGCCTTATAGACTTCCTAGAGTGTTTTTCGGAAATTTTAAGAAGACACAATCGAGGTATAGAAACCCTCCGATTTCAAAGTTCATATGCCAATGATCTGATATGAAAATAATTAAATTAGACACATTCCATTTCTTAACAATGTTAGGTATAAATGTATTACCTATTGTTAAGTCTATCACTTACCTACGCCTCGTGCCTACTTTCGTTACCTACGTTCAAAATGTCTACTAAACCTTTTTCCATAATAAATGAAAATTAATGCTCACCATTTTCGTTGATTTGGTGCCATGTATCCCCCAGGTCAGGTAGTCCGCATTTGCATCACAGCTAACTATGAGCTGTGATGTCTGCTCGACAGACTCTCACTAACTCGTCCACATGTTGGTTGGTGGCGGTTCTTGACTATCATAAGGACGGTATACTGATTTAATGGTGATTGATCGGCGATTGATCCTGGTACAAAAGTTACTCAACACCAGTATACTCAATTATTCTCTTGGAATCTCTGGGGTTATGTTGTGAATTAACTCCCCCCTGATCTTTCCTTATCCCATGATCTTTCTCCAGTAGACCTAGGCTTCTCGTACGAGAGGGGAAATGATTGCCCACATCCGTAGTCTCACATCCCTGCATAGATGTGAGACTAAATATTCTGAGAATTCGCTTGGTATCTCAGAGACTTCTTCGGATTGAGCCCTCTTTTTAGTTGCCTCTTACAATATGTAACGTTACCACGGACTTTCTTGTAACCCTCGGTGCTGCAGGGGTAGGTAATCTTCTTCGTCTGACTTTTCTCCCTCGGCTCGATCGGCTTGGAAAGCCATACCAGTAACTGAGCTGCCGCCGGCATGGCTTCCAGGATCATAAAAGTACACAAGCCCGTCCACCAAACGACAAGTTAAGGGCACCAACAAGCTTCTCCACCACACGAAAAAGTATACTTTTCGTGTAGTGGGCACCGTCGTGTGCGGTGTACCTGAGGCTTTGATTAAATTAATGGCAGTATACAATTTGTATGGCTTCTGTTAGAGAGAACAAAAATTCTCAGTAAACTCGTTATCTTCTTGTTCATTTTTTGTCGGTGAAATTCTACTTTTAGGAACAGTCGAGTTTTCAAAATGGGAGATATAGTGTGTTTGGAATTATTACACAATACAATGAGAACCCGATTAATTTTTTTTTACTTCATGGGCTGAAAATTCTCCAATTAATACACATGGGCTCAAGATCAACGATCTTCTAGGGTAACAATATATATAGAAAGTTTCCTCCCGAGGTGACATTCAAGTCTAAACATTGAAATCCATATCTGTTAAAAAATCTGTTTAAAATCTGTTTTTCCGGTAATCAGCTGTCGCCCCCATACGAACGACAACTCTCAGAAGTTGAAAAACTTGTGCGAGCTAAGGACTAACGAGGTATTACCTTTTAACGTGTGATTCTTGACACGGTTGCAGAATCATTCCAGCTTCAACCAGATAAATTCTCTCGAGAAAAATAGCTGGTCGAGGCGGGAATCGAACCCACGGTCTCCCGATCGTGAGTCGGGCGTACTACCACCGCGGCCAATTCCACCTTCATACCTTCATACATTCAAGAAGCAACTAAATCAAATTCAAATCCAAGATAGAGTGGATGTAAACATTGACATGCCCTACGCACGTGATATTGAAAATCCCAAGAATTGGCCAGAGTCGTATTCAGAACCAACATCTTGTTGATCGCAAATGCTATATCATACTTAGGAAAACTTTTTTATAATAACGAGTGAAATGCACAAGTTTTGCAGTTCAACGGGAAAAATGNCTGATTACAACCCTGTGCTGGTACCGAACTCGTACCAAGAAGGCGAATTCACTAATGAACGCTGCTCTTTCCATCTGACACTGGGCGATCACGTGAACATCACGCTTCGGTTTTGTTTTGTTTTACTCTATCTTGGATTTGGATAGACTTTAGTCTCCAATTTACCCTCAAAGCCAGCTTATTACGGTCGTATGGCCTCAAGACTAACATCTAAGCTAAGACATAGATTTCAACAAACTCCTTAGATTACTAAACTAAAAATAAAATTATAACAAATATCTAGACGATATCAGAGCTTAATAGCATTGCATCCATGATCCAAAATGTTTTCAAATGTTTTGAGAGAAATGTCAATGAAACAACCAAAATGTTTAATGATAGACCATAAACCGTCTTTAATCGCATATCGGCATATTTTGTAATGAAACATTTTTTTAAATATTGTTAGACATTGAAATTCTTACCAAATATCTTATTAATCCTTCATCATGCCAACTGCCACCTGGAATTCTCAAATGGGGTACATCTACCTCTTTCAGACGCCTTTAAGCGACTTAAAATGTGAACGGTGGTAAGGTTATACCTTTATAAAACACTGCATATACTTATGTATCTCAACATGAATGTAAGTTTTTCGAAGGGAAAGATCAGCGATGTTTCGATTTTTCATAAATACTTCATAAATGATCGTAGATTCTTAACTAAGAAAAAACGATGAAGATCGACGAAAATTCAAAATCAAGTGGTTTGAGATTTCTGTCAATCATAGAAGTTGCCATCGTTTTTTCTTACATGAAGTAGCAAATTGGAATTATATATAAATGATAATGTAAACTTTTATTTTGAAAAACTAATCATTTCTAATGAAAGAATGAAAAATTTGGTTTCATCCCCTTATGTGAGATTTGTTGAATGATTATAAGATGTTGTTAAGTAGTGACCTGAACTTTGTGTGATTCCCAGGGAAACTAGAGTTCGCAAGTTGTATTGTGCCGAAAGTAATCTACTCATTAATTATATTCATCTATTTCCAGACATCCAGCCCATAAAGGACAAATCTGCTTGGCGCAAATCCAACTTAAACGTATCCAACACCTCGGAAGAGACCAAAGAGGACAACTACCTTGGCCGTCACTCTCGGGCTCATCAGTCTGAGAACGTATTGCATTCGATAGATGAAGATAAAACTCTCGACCGAAAAGGATTAATAAGCTCTTTGGGCGAACGAATGCCAACCGACAGACTGACACTGTACATTCGGAAACCAACAGACATCAGTGATAACGGCCCCAGTTCTTCGAGGCGCACGAGGGATTCAACGCAAAGCTTAGAATACAGCAGCACAAATAATAAATCTGAAATAGATCAAGATAACATAGAGACTCCTCCGGCGACGAGAAAAATATTCATTTCTTCTCCTGTCGATAAAAGAGAACCTTTGATGCCAAGTCTCTGTAGTCGGAGGATTGGTAGGACCAACAGCAACAAAGAATCGCCCGCGCAGAGTCCAGAAGAGCCCGAAGAGAACTCCATTCTTGGAGATGGGCAGTTTGATAGGTAAGAACGTTGCTCATGAATCATTCAAGGATCGAATTCTAAGGGCCGAATTTAAAATTCATCTTTTAGGTATTCTGCTGCTAGACGAACCCGGAGATATAAAAGAAGTCAAGAGAGTAGCGAAGTTGTTTCTCCAACAGAATCGCTACTTGCTGAAACAATAGTTGTCAAATCTCCAACGCAGTTGGAATTATCTCAACCCATCAATATTGAAAATGAGATCGACAAAGAAACTAGATTGAAGGCGTGGCAAGAGAAGCTCAAGGTCCAACATGACCATGAGGTAAAGAGTGGAAGGAGGTACAGAAATCAAACAGGAATCAAACCCAGCGATGTGGAAAAGGCTTTGAACTTGAGGAAAGGAAATTCGAACATATCTTCTACTTATATTACGCCAGAACCGACAAAGGTGAGATAAATTGAATTATTTGTAAGCATTCTACTTCATGTTTACAATTCAACATCAGATACTACTCATTTTATTCACAAGAAAATTACTTTTTTAGACACTATTTCATGATTTGTATGAGTGATACAATGTATTCTTTCTATATTAAAAATGAAACCAAAAATGTGTATATCGATTATAAACTAAGTTCTTAATGATTTAAAACATACTCAATATATGTTGGGTTAGGTTAAAAGTGAATGGGTCTGTCCAACACTGCAACTCACGGAGTTTTTATGACTCACACCAATTCAATCTCAACCAAACATGATCAGCTTCTCAATAGAACGATAGAACCGATTAGATTTATTCATTCATTTTTCTATCTTTTGTTGAATTCAACTTCCTACTTCACCTTAGTTCAATTATCAAATTGTCAGAAATATGATTAACTGTTTTTTTTTTAATAGGCGACATCTAACAAAATCGACATTCCCTCACGCAAAACCAAAGAGCATGACAATGATGAAGGATTTGAGGAAACTCAGAGCCTCATGTCTGAATCTCCGAGTCAAGGAGCTTCATCCGGTGGAAATTGCGAGACCGATATCATAGACAGCCCGCAAATAGTGATCGCAAACTCAACCAATCCCAAACCAACTAGACTGTCATCAGTGGAAAACAAAGGAACTATGAATTCTATCATACCAGAATTACGAAAATCATCCAGAAATACGAGAATACACTCCGCCCCAAATGGCAAATCCACAAAAATGGTAGAACGTATCCCTTCTCTCAAAAAACTGAATCAAGAAGCCCCAGCAACTAGAAAAAGCGTCATCCCGAGAAGATCTGATAGTATTAAAAAATCCGACTCCAAAACTAGCATTACTTCGATAAAGCCAAACAGCATTCAAAAGTCCAATTCTAGAAACTCTATTGTTAGCTCCCGGAGTTCTTTGAACAGCGCTACCTCAACTAGCACGGTCAAAAAGTTACCATTGAGGCCCAATACCAGCAGCAATCTGGCCAGACCAATTCAGAGGACGCCTAGTAACAAATCTGTTGCTTCAGCTGGTAGGAATAACTTGAAGCGAACTAATTCTAGTAGTAGCAGTATCAGCAATAGGCCGCCACGGCCTCAAGCCTTAAGCTTTATGAAGCCAACTGCTGCTAGTTCCACCAAGAGCACTCAACCTTCAACAACGAGTAGAATAAGTTCATTCAAATCAAAGAACTAACCATAATGCAAAATATTATATAGTGTCGTACTGTGTGCAACAGACTCATTTTGAAGTGTATTTCCGTTGCGGAATAGATTCTACATGTTGTATGAAATGTTTTGAAATGGTCACAGAATATCTTAAAATTCGATATGCAAGGTAAAACAATAAACTTCTAAGGTTGTGACACTGAAAAACAAATTCTTCTGTATATAGAGGACTGAAAATACTCAATCCCAATTCATTCAAATTTTGCGAATCTCACATTTTCATATGCCCAATTAGATACTCAAATCCGGCTGTTTAAAAAAAAATCATGAGGGAATCAATATTAGAAACTTCAAGATGTCCATGTTTTCCTATCAATTCAATTCAACTTAACCCAATATGTGTTATAGTAAAAAAGTTCTACTTAGGTACTTACCCTGTTGATAATACTGAAATTATCTCAATGGAGTTTAAATGTATGATAGTAGTCATTTGCTAGTTGTGTTTTCATTCATGGTTTCTGAAAATACTTTCCAGTTATAATTGTTTCATCTAAGAATTAGGGAATATCATCCTAGGAGATAAAATCCTAACCTCCTAGATCTCATGTCATCTAGTAATCTTTTGTATCCCCAGTTTTCGATCAAATTCCATCTTCCTCATCTTCCTTTCCCTATACTTCAACCCACATGAGCTCTCCAGAACAAAAATGTTAATGTCTTTATATGCAACTAGACATCATTTCATTTTATTGTTCCTGTTGTTATTTACTATCATCAGGCTGAATTACACTTCAGTGTTTCCAATTTTTGCAACTTTATTTTAATTTTGAAACAAACATACTTCTACAGTGAATCCAAACGTTTAAGGGTCATGTTGTTTATGAATAACAAGAAGTTTCTAAATGATATAGGGTGGAAAACTCATTTTCAAAATGCCACTCTGTATATATTTCATATGCGAACAAAGATCATCAACTTAATAACATGGTATAGAATTAGCTCCAACTGGTTTTCCATTTTTTTTAAACATTGAACTTGAAATATTCCTAATTATTGAATCTTTCAAAAAAGTTAGGTCGTTGAGTGATGTGAAAGTGGAAAAAAGTTAATTCCAAGATCAAAGACGAAAAAGTCAAAAAAACAAGTGCATCGAATATTTGTCTTTGTACATAATAGAAGGACCTAATACATAATAAGATACCCACAGTGAATTATCAGTGCAGCTGACAAACTTATACATGCAGTTATTCATTCTGCAAATGTTTTTGTTGTGTAGCAAAGATTAAGATTTTCACAGTGCACTAAACTGAAGGAGTCAGAAATAGGAGACTAAATGTAACTTCCTTGAAAGCATTTGGTGTACCTACTGCATTTGAATCATGCATTTTGATATATTCGAGGTTGAATTACTTCAAAATTTCACTTTTTCTTTCATGAAACTCGTTCAAGGTTTTGAAAGCTATACTTTTCACATTGAAAAACATTCAAAATTATCGTTTTCTTTGGAATGTATCAAGAAGTCTAAAATTCGTTATTTCTTAAACTCCATCAATCTCAACCCCAAACCATATGATGCGAAACCTCTTTTTGAGTTTAGTGTTATAGTATTTCTGGTTATTGGGTTTGGAGTTTGAAAATATAGAATTATGAGATTTTATAATAAATTTCAATCAACCAGGTTGCAATGTAATATTACCTCGTATTCGGCAAAGGTGCACCAAAAACTTTTGAGAAAAATACCATACCCAATTTCTTGGGAGTTACTGAAAGGTGAACAAAAATTCTTGGGCCATGACGAAGATGTAGAAAAAAATCTAGCAATAATATAGTTTTGAAAATCAAGTGTCCTTGTACGTACCCTACAAATCATTAAGGCGTTTCAGGTTCAGTAAAGTAATTTTTAAGATATTATTGATTCCTGGAGTCACTGAGTTTTCGTTTTTCCATTCACTTTTTCAATTATTGAACTATGGAAATACTTGAAAATTAGATGCTCAAAATGAATCTCTCTAGATACCAATATTTGGATAATTCTTTGACTCGTAAGTATACTTTATATTTTCAAACCTAAGTGCCATTCCACATGATATTTCGAAGCCATTAAACAATGGCTGTCAGAATGAATTTCAGATTTTAGGTATTAATAACGAAATTTTCCAACATACATTATTTCGTTTACTAGTCAAAAAGTGCTTTTTTATTATTATTTAAATGTAGTACTTATAAATAAATTGAATAACTTTCTCAGTTGTGTGGAGTATTCATTTATTTAAGCAAGATTAGATGAATTTTTGTATAATGTTATAGTCTATCAAATGTTAATCAATTAACATTTCCACTCTATTTTATATATAAGTCGATTTTTTATTTTTAATAATTATTTATTGTTTTCTGCGGATTTGTTCCATTTTGATACATTTTCAAAAACATATACCTACTTTTACACGAATTTCTCCTACAGTATTAGTTATCACAATAAATAGAACAGATCTGTAGAATCATAATTTTTGATCATATAGACGTAGTCCAATCGAAGTAGACATCAAATATGGTCAAAATTTCACTGGAGCTGAAAATGATGCAAGCCATGAAGTCCATATGTTCCAGAATATGAAACACACATATCCTTACCAGTTGACTACACCTAACTATGGAGGATGCAGTAACGCAATCATCATGCATCATCTTGATGCTTCGAAGTGTAAGCTGCAGTGATATTTAGAGGACGAATCTCATTGACGGTCGATGTCGAAGCTAGGCTTTGCAACTGACTGCCTTGGGAGGCCTATCTTTGATATTCGAGGATTGAGTCCTCTGTCGATCCCTCATTTAGTCAGTCTTGTTCTTTAAGGGCAGTGGAGTCCAGCAATGCATTTGTGGTTCAACCTAGCACCACGAGCGATATGTATGGCGATTCAAAACAACGCTGCCTGGTGTTGAATCATAAATGCATTGTGATTGGGCCCTAATTTTCAACTCAATGTGTTTATTTGTATTGAAGTTTTGACTGGTCTAATAGCAGAAAGTTTTGTTTTCTTGGAAGACCCTAATGAAAAGTCCTCATGACATATGGACCTCTGTAACTCAACATACTGACTAAGTACCTACCTACTATGTCTACTATGTTATATTCTGTATCATATTCTTTCAAGATATATAGTTATTTTTTTGTATAGATTTTTGAAGATTTTTTTCATACTTCAAATAATATATACACTTTCTCTGTTAACTTTTCAGGTGATCAGCCTTAACTTGATCTAACTTTGATTTCCCAAGTTCAATCCATTAGTTCTTGTTTTCTCTGCAATAGTGAAAAATCACATAAGTGCAATTTTGAATAGAGGACTTTTTATTTTTGCATTTCTGTTTGAACAAGGAAACAAAAGTATGTAAATTTTTTTTAGGATAATGACTAATTACTAATTTTTTATACATTTATTTGTTTGTTACCAAATATTTAACCAGAAGATAAGTTTTTACCTCTAGTTTTTGTTTTATTTCGGAATACTACTTCTTATCGAAAATGTTTCAAGTAATTTCTATTTAACTCATACCTATGAGCAATTAAGTCATTGTGATATATATTACAATACAAGAAATGTATTTACTTCATAAAACAGTAACAAACTCTCAACTGGTACATTCATTTGAGTATCCAAAAAGGAGAAAGAGCACTGCAAGAAAATCGTCAATACTGTGTTGAAGCTAATTTCGGGGTTTGATGGCCATTGTCTGCAGGTTTTTGTGTCTGGCGTTTCGTCTAAAACTACGGTTGATAATATAATTAAAGGCAAAAAGACAATGGGCAAAGTTCTCAGGTTCACAGCAGATAATACATTCAAGTATTGTTCCCTTGCTGGTGGATGTGGCTCTTTGATTATATTGTCAAATAACATAACTCCTTTTCACGAGTATTATTGAGTGCAGGTAGTAATATTTGATTGATATTAATTCCCTCTTCTATTCAATTGAAATAATTTTCGTGTTTTTGATTTTCTATTGCCTTACTATATAGTCTTGGGTAGTATAGTATATACGAAGTCAATTCAAATGGCATAAAAAGAAAATAGTTACCGAACGTCGGCAGTTTCTTTCTATGGCATGGGCGGCGTGGTATAATAGAATGATATGGTGTAATTTCATTTTTCATGAACCTACACGGGTTTTTTTTATCAGTAGTAAACAGTAACGCCATCAGTCTTTTATTTAGCTGTTCGGATTGACTTTATATAGAATATACCTACGAATTCAATCAAACATCTGGGTTTCTTCAAACACGATAACGTGGGTAACCTCGCTGAGAACAAGTTCCGCTACTACTGACTTGTTGATATGTCCCAGGCAACAATTTCTCTTGTGCTTGGTTCCAAGGTAAACCGATCCAGAGCTACGAGGGACTAGTTATTCTGCCAGTGTTGCTAAGGCTAACCTTAGACTCTCTCTGATCGTTTTCATTGCCAAAAATAACGATTTCAAGTTGTGACTCTCCAGAATTCTTCCAATTCTATACGGAACAGTTTTCACATGGACAGGAACACTTTTCCATTGACATTCTCTTTCTTGGGTCGACCCAAGGAAAAGTAGTGGACGAAACATCAGGTGTAAAAATCTGCAGACCGCAGTCAACAAACCTGGAAAATAGCTTCGACATAGTTACATCCGGTCGTGGAAGTTAACACTCTTTGATCATCAATAACGTCGGAGAGGCGGTAAATAAACAGAAATGACCCTGAGTAGTTCATTCCACAAGGGCACATTTCCTTAAATAAAATAGTTCTTGTGATATACGAGTATTGCTTTTCCTGGCAACTAATTTGAATAACGTCATCTGCTGCAGGCAACCAGTAATGCAATTGTACCCAGGTTTGTGTTTAATAAACCCTACAAAATACAAATAAAACAGAACACAAGGTCAGATACTACAAATGCAATACGCATATATACAGACGGCTCAAAAACCAAAGGAGGTTCAGGATGTGGAGTGTATTCCAAATCACTAAGCCAAAGGATTGATTGGAGAACTGGCTGGTATCTCAATCGCCACAAAAGAAATAACCAGGAAAGGAATTTCTGGCAAAAAAATAACAATCTGCACTGATAGCAGACAAGCCCTATTAGCCTAGAACAGACAAAGTGTTACCTCAGGGCTAGTACTAGAGTGCCACCAAGATTTAGTCAAAGCCTCGGTAGATAATAACATTACCCTGAAGTGGATTAAAGGGCACGACAGGAGTAAAGGTAATCGCATTGCCGACTTTTCAGCCAAGTAGACAGCTGGACTAAGAATTTTAAGACCCAGTGGCAGATGATTTCGACAATTGTGGTACTAGCCAAACGTTACACCCATTCTCAATCCCTAAAGAAATGGGATGAGATCAAAGGATGCACTCTTGCCACGATCACCCTGAGCGACCCTGGGAAGCTGGTGCCGAAGAATTATCTAGCGATGACCAGGAAAAATATACGCTCAACAGTAGAATTTCTGACTGGCCACTGTCAACTAAGGACACCTCCATAATATGGAGCTAGTGGATACACCTACATGCAGGATGTGTGAACAGGAAGACTCAGAAGACTCACCCTCCCTACTCTACAGATACAGATACTATTGGTATTATAAAATCCCTTAGAAATTTTATCAAGTCCTTGGCAAAATGAACCAAGTGCTTGAAAGAGAATATTGAAAAAAACACAATGGAAAAACCTTACGGCAATGTGCGTACAAACTTTCAAAGATCTTGGCGACACTGCCTGTTTCCACATGTACCCCTGAACCAAAAGCCAGGAACGACTAAGACTAAACGGTTTGGCGTTAATGTCAATCCACCGTAGAATTGACATCGACACCGAGGACATAATTGATTTGTTTGCTGTAAAGAAAGCTATAAAACTAAATTTGATTTGGTAAAAAGATGTAAATATTTCTGTAATGGTTTTCTAATAAATATATATGATCATGTAACACAATTTTCTTTCCTTCATTATTTGTATATTTCATGTTTTTCTACTGTTCCACCAAACCAAACCCTCCCCCCCCCCGAAATTGTTTTCTGGCTACGGCCTTGCCTGTCACCTACACCTATCCAAGGTAAGAATGAACAGCATGGGGATATCGGAAACGGTAAGTAATACGGAGTCGATTGAATTAAAGAAAAGTAGCGCATTTATGTTCCTAATAATATGATATTCAGAAAGTTTCAATATTTTTATTTTCTCCTAGCTTCATTTGCAAAGGAAATGTAAAATAAATAGCACTTTGCCATGGTCACTTTGTAAGGACTACACGATAACGTAAGAAGAATTTTTCTGCGACGTCTCGTCTTTTAGAAAACATCATCAATTTTGTACTTTTATGTGGGTTGAAACTAAAGTATACCCTGTATACGACTCTATTTTTTATTTTGAATACAGCAATGTATCACACAATATGATTTCATAATCATTTCTCTCGCAAATGAAAAGTGATAACGCAACCTGTTTTTCTTCAATTTTAAACAGTACGCGCTGGAAAAAATGACACATAATGTTCTGTTGCCATAATAATACTGTTGATTGGTAGAATTTTTGACATATTACCGTTCCTACTTTTACATCTCGTTACCTACCTAATTTGTGTTAAAAATGGAAAACGGCAGCTTTTCAAATACTGAANTAACCTATAATTATTATTTATTTTTTTAATAAATAGCTGATATTCATCAAATGTTCATTCATTTTTAAAAGGCAGTCGATAAACTACAAGCGTCAAAGTATCTACCCGAAATTGAATGATCAGATTTTTGTTAGTGTCGTAACCTACCCAACTACATTATGAACGAATTTGATGATGAATTTAAAAAAATTTATGTTTTTAAAGCAAGTGGACAGTGTACATTACCAAAAAAAATATTTGAGTCTCCGAAATGGGAAATTCGTGAACTGCAGTTGAAAAAGCAAGAACTCAACAAAGTCAAAAGCTCTCTCAGTAAATACAATCTCAAAGTTTGGAGAAAGCACACTGCTAACAGAGATCGAGCTGGGTTTGTCATGACACATTTATCAGAAAATATCAGACCAGAACTCTTGACACAGGTAAAAACTTTACTAATTGATTTGAAAGGGTTATATTTCTTTCCCAAAAATTTACTAGTTGAATTTTGTGAATGAAGAATTGTTTTCCATTATTCTTTCTGGTACCCCAAAACGAAAATATTTGCTACACATATGTGATGGAATCAGCTGATAATAATGTATAGACACGCCTAAACAAGCTATTATATAGCGAAACACATGTTGCGTTTTAGTAAAACTATTTAACTGATGCAAATTTCACAAAGTGTTTCTTGAATATATTTGCTACACTGTTATCAACGAATATTCTGCAGGTTTCATAATGAAAGATTTAACTAAGATGTCTAAGATAGGCTTCCACCCATTTCATTTACTTTGGTTTTATTCCAAGGCTGTGAGAATCAATTTGTTTATTTGGTTTCTATATATTTATCACAAGTACGATTTTGCTATATTTGTTATATTTATAATTTCAAATGTAAAGGGGTATATTTTTAGGAGAGAATTTTTGAGAAAGAAAGGTTTTGGCTTTCCACCTCTCAATGTTAATACAAAAATTGTAACAATCTTTCAATGAAAGAAAGAAAGCAATAATTTGCGAAACTCTTTACAAAAATGTGTAGATGATGCAAGGAAGTAGCTTTCAGAAACAAAACGGAAGAAAAAGCCTTCTTGAAACAACTACTTTTATATTAAAATTGAATTACACGAAACAACTGCTTTTATATGTATACAAAAAACACATTTTTATAATTAAGTTTTTAATACAAACTATTGTTATGGAATTGAATCAGAAATCATTTACAAGATTGGTGCACAATATTGTATATGGAAAAGTTAATATTTCACATACCTACATGGAATACTGTCATCTTCAATGGTGGACATTGATGTTTTGCAGCATCAATCTGGATACTATTACAAAATGAAGCACTCCATTCATAACATTACGACCTTATGTCACGAAATAGTTAAATCTATCCATGTCATTGATGACATGTATCTCAATCAACAAGGATATATTAGTTTGAAGGTGATTGACAATGTTTTGTGGTGTATTTCATCAGTTCGGACTTCCATTGTCTAATATAATATAAATTGATTTGATAACCTTGAAAAAAAATTAAAAAGATTAACCGAAAATAACAATTTTATTAAACAAAAAACTGAAATTACAAAGNATATTAGACAATGGAAGTCCTAACTAATGAAATGAGGATATTTTAATTTGGTATTTTTGAATAAGTATCCATTGATATCCCTATATTATTGAGATTATTTTATGTCAAACGAAATATTTCATCAAATAGGTGAGTTTATGAGTAATTTCATCTTCTGGGTATATTCATTTCAAATATTAGAATTCAACTGATTTCAGTAGCTTGACATCACTGTCAGTAGCGCTACTGACAGCTACTTCAGTGAATTTTTGAAATATTTAGGCTGGTGAACTCTGAAATGAAAAATCGGTAATGTGTAGAAAAGACCAGTAAGCTGACATTAATATTCAGATGTTCAAAGCTAGATTACAACAAATACAAACCTAAATTGGGTGTTTGAAAGAGGACAGGAATCAAAGGATTCATCCAATAGAATTGAATCAGTGCTATTGCTGGTAACTGATAAGTCTGACATGTATTCAGAAATGGTAATTCTAATTATAAATTTCAAAATTGAGGAAATATATTTTTTTCTATTTTTATTTCTAACCAATCTTTATGTTTACAGGCATGGTGTAAATTCTATGAAATTCTCAGCCAGTTTCCTGTAGTACCTTTATGTGCCATAAGTCAACACAAACTTGTCAGTCTACACTTATGTGAAGCCCCTGGTGCATTTGTGTGTGCTTTGAACCACTATTTAACACTTAATTATCCAGGTTTGGAAGTTAGTGTCACAATTAATGGGTTTACAGTTGTTCATTGAATTCATTTTCAGTGGAGTTGGAAAGCGAGTACACTAAATCCTAATTATGAAGGAAATTCTTTGTCACAAATGATTCCCGATGACCGTTTCATCAAACATACAATTTCTAAGTGGAACTTTGGGGCAGATTTTTCCGGAGATATTACAAAGTTTTATAACCATGAAGACTTTGTGCTTTTTTTCAGAAAGAATAATATTAAGGTAGGTGACATTTGCTTGTATGGATAATTACTGTCTGTCTGTTTTCCGTTAACCAGCTGTCGCCCCCAAGAACGGCAACTCTCAAAAGTCGAAACTTGTGCAATATAAGGACTGTCGAGGTCTTACTTTTCAACCTGCGATTCCTAACACGAAATTAACACTGATTAGTTTGAATTTTAAGCAATCAAAACAATATTTTTTGAAAAGTCTGTTTTTTTGTTCATTTTATTTCAAGTTGAAACACTTGAAAAACATAATAGATGTAAAGTAAATAAATGAGAACAGGGGGGGGCAAACACTATGAAATTCATTACAATCACAACAAGGCTCTATTCGAGATTACCAAAAAGAATTGTCCAGTCAGACAAAGAATATAAACNATTAAAACCCAACATTTGAAACATCAATTTGAATACTTTTCGAAGTGAATTTGAAAAACTCATGAATTAAACTCGACTTTATTTTGTTCAAACTTGCATTTGCTGTAATAACCCAAATTGAGGAACATTCCCCATTGAAAAGGGCAAGTCTTTTCTCTAATTTCCCTGCCATTAATGCAAGAACTGGTCAATACTTATGAGGAACGAGTTGGTTTTTTTTAAGAATACCTGTACTGTACTAAAAGATGGATAGAAACCCTTGACTGGTCTGGAGTTATGGTGGGCTTAAAAATATTACAGAACAGCTATTTTCGAAGCCTTGCTAATAATGAAGTTCATTTCAACATTCGTGTTCTACCGAAAATACTTTTGTTATTAAAAAAACAAAATTCGGACTGTTAGGCTGTCGTCAAAAGGAACTTGTGGTATCAAACTTTAATGACTGACATGCTTCTTGTTCACTCGTATTTATACTAGTAGGAGTGGTGAGGGTAGGGTGTTCATGAGAATGATCAGTTCCCATTGGACCACACTTGTGATAGGTTGTTCTGATAGGTCCACGTTTTTGATAGGTAGGATGTCAATTGGAATTGTATTCTAGTTCATTTCTGATCTTCTTGAGTACTGGATACTCTGTTGATACATATATTTCTCCTTTTCCATTGAAATTGTTGGGATGTTTATAGATCTCAACGGCTTCCCTATGAAGTCATGTGTGATAATATTTCAAGTGGTCATTTCTGTTAGGACATGTTATGCTATTGTAGATTTCTCCATTTGCATAAGGAACAGCTACGCTTGTGTTCTTGTATCCTGGTGTTGATGCTTCATTTGGAAGTTCTGATGTAAACTGAACCATGGAAACGCCGGTGAATAACAGAGGTTCTCTTTTATCCTTGACTCATCTGATGATGGTGCGTAGTTGATCAGTCTGCTTGTAGTTGTAGACTTAGTGTTGTGACGTTCAAATGAGCCAACAACTTGGATCAGCCAGAGCTGCTCTTAAATTCCTGATATTTGAATGTAAGGCCAATTCTCTTCTGAGCAGCACATTGCTTATTATAGAAAGGCCCTACGCAACTTGACATGATAAAATTTCATTCCCCCTTATACATAGAGCTTTTAGCGCATTGCTCTGTTTATTGAGTGGCAAATGGGAATCATGAGAATTTATTGCCTGTCTAGCAATTTTACTTTCTAGTACAATTATTCATTATTTCATTATAAACACATTATTTTAATACATAACTCTCATAGCTACTTTATTTTGAATTGAAATATTATTTTTAGACTGAAACAATATTACAGATAAAAAAAGAGACTTATTAGAAAAAGAGGTATTTTTCTCAAAATATGAAATATGCTACCAGTTTTCTAACCTAAACAATTTCTTATCTTGTTGGATATAACCCCAGGGAACATCATCTTTAACGGAAGGGAACCGTCAGCGGAACTTGTGAGGAAAGATGATATTTGAGAAGTGCTTGAAACAGTTCATTAAAGAAAATTCAATGTACTTGGGATGATATAATTATAATATGGATCTGCAGTAATCCGGACCCAGTCTAATCCGGCGCCCCCTGTAATTCGAAACGCCTATCAATGTTGACTGTACAGGGCAGGGGGTAGTGTTGTAAATCATACCCGAAAGAAAATAACGCCGGCCGCCAGTGGTATCCATAAACCAAATGTGACGTAGCTAAGAGCGCGCGAATGTACGATGATTCCCTGCCACTCTAGAAGCAGTGAGAATAATGCTACCGATTTCAACAGAACTTCGGCGAAATTTCTACGGCATTCGATTACGATATTTGAAGGCTAGCCACTAGGATATCGACACAGTCAAGTGGAAGCTACAGTACGGTACGCGAAGTGATCCAGTAAGGCGATAGACATAGAAATAGTTGAAGTGAAATAAAGTTAACTTTGATTATTCAGTGTAGTCAATTAGTGGTCAACCCACAGGGAAAAACGTAACAATACGTTAACTTGTACACGACACCACTGTTATGCTCGACGTGTAATTTGTCGTATTACAAGGTACTCTTATTCAAAAATTTCAGACTATAGAGGATCTCAGGCATTACTTCATAATCTGATAAATTGGATAATTGGACATCACCTTGCAAAACGTTTGTCGAATTAGCATGGGTCCGCTTTATGTAAATATAGATATGTATGAGTGTTCATGTCATAAATACAGTAGCACTACCATTGATATCCTATATATCTGTATTTTGTATTTTATTCATGAACTTTTATATTCATTTCATTTTTTGAAACAAGTGTTTAATCGCTCATCGAGAAGATCCTTAAACTCTGATGAGGATAAATTGTAATCAGAATATGTGAATAACTTTATCATCATTGGGTCGTTTCAAACGTTTCGTCCGTTTTTACGTCTACTGTAATGTCTCACTGAAAACTCAAGTCGATTAATTCCGTCAGCATAAAATTTGTGTGCTCGGGATTCGATGAAGTCGACGAAGGCCGTTTTTTTTTTGCATGGTCCTGATTGGCGAAGGTTCTACCGGTGAGAAAGTGCTTGAAAAGATGGTGGTCGGTTGGCGAGTGGTCTGGGGAGTATGGTGGATTATGTAGAACTTCGACGCTGAATTTGTTTAATTTTCGGACGGTGGTTTGTGAAACGTATGGACCGGCGTTATCGTGGAGCAGGATCGGACCTCTTCTGTTGAACAGTGCCGACTGCGGCTGACGCAATTTTCGGTATATTTCGTCGATTTCCTCACAGTAGCACGCTGATGTGATGGTTTGGCCCGGTTGCAGAAAGTTATAGTGAATCACACCAGCAGCTGACCACCATACAGTAACCATTGCTTTTTTTTGGTGGGTTTTTGCCTTTGGGAAGTACCTGGGTGGTTCATCAGTGACCAACCACTGTCCTGAACGTCTCCTGTTGTCATAGAGGATCCACTTTTTATCACACGTGACGATTCGATCCAAAAAAAGGATCGTTTTGGTTTCGCATAAGCAAAGAACAGACCTCAAAACGTGATAATTTTTGTCGATCAATCAAATCTTGGGGTAACCTCTTTTCAAACCTTTTGACCTTTCCGATATGTTCAAACCATCAAAAACCGCATGGGAGCTGACGCCTTTTTCTTCCGCCATCCCACCCAACGTTTGTGATGGTCAATCTCCACCAGCGTCCTTAAATCCTCGTCCTAGATTACTGTAGGTCGACCACTTTGGAACTCATCTTCGTAGCCGAAATCTCCGGAAAGAAATTTCTCAAACCAAATGCTTAGTTAATATTTCGGAGGGTTTCGGCAGTGCTTTAGTTCAATTTGAATTCGTAGAGTAAAATTGTCCGAAAATCGCTCAATACCATATAAATAAGCTAAAAAGGGGCAAAACATTTAAAAATGGAAAAAAAATTAACAGCATCAATGCATAAAGTATAAAATTCTCTATCGATCAGTATACAGCACGACACAGTAAAATAAATATTTATTTAGATATGGAGCTACAAAAACACATCAAAATGGACAAAAATTTCAGAAACAATGGTTATAGCCTACGATGCAAAATGGGGATTTACTCGAGCGTCATTGAGACATATTAGGTTGCAAAGCTTAGATGATAAGAAGAAAAAAATTTTATATAATATATANTACAAGGTATCCCCCTGTATATTGATCTGCCGCGCTTTAGTAAATCCCGAAATCCCCGCTTGGGCTTCCTTATTATAGTGGAAACCATGTTGACCATTACTGATCTATTACTGCCAGTAAGCAACTGGCAGTAAGCAACTAGTTACTCAGAGGATTTTCTTGCTCTTTTTTAGTATAGGCCGGATCCGAGTGAAGCAAGCAAAAAAAAAGATTTTTTTTTTCAATTCTTATTTTCTCCAGTATATTATTGAATATCTGACATGTCTAAAATAATTTCAGGTTTCCCTCGTCACGGCAGATGGAAGTGTCGATTGCATGAACAATCCTGGGGAACAGGAAAGACAGGTTGAACGGCTACATTTTTGTGAAACAATGACTGCCCTCTCTGTCCTTCAAAAAGGTAATTCAATCGTGTCTTTAACTACCAATATGGTAAACCTACCTGTCATTCTTTTGTAGGAGGAGCCTTTGTTTTGAAAATATTCACAATATTCGAAGAAACCACTATCAACCTATTATTTTTACTGAACTGTCTATTTGAAAAAGTGTCAGTTTTCAAACCTTGCTGTTCCAAAGGTGGCAACTCCGAAGTCTATGTGGTCTCTACAAACTTCAAAGGTTCAATTTGCTTGCAAAACTTGTGGCATAAATTCTCAGTGGTTTACAGGGATGAAAATCTCTTCTCATCACATTCAATGTTTTTTCAGAATGAAATACCACATCACTTTCTGGAGGAGATATTGACATGTGCAGACCTGTTTATGAAAAAACAAATTATGACCATCTTGGACAATATTCATCACTTCGAGAACAGAACTCGTGAAAATTTGCATTTCACAAAATCTTTTATAGCAAACATGTACATGAAAAAATATGAACTGAAACCGATTCCAGATGACAATAAAATTGTTCCGAATGTTAATGTACTTGAGGATTGGAGTGTGAATTCTGCAAGGAAAAAGAAAGGTTTTATCAAACTGAATCTAGAAAGTTACTCAGGTCATTCAAATCTGTCAAACATTTTTCACATGGTAACAGGAAAACAAATATCTACAGTGCAGAATACTAGATTCACATATGCAGATGATTTGAAGAATTTATCGAAAATTGTTCATAGGACTAGTGAACGATCTGAACTCTACCAGACGATTTTGAAAGTTATTGGTGATGAAAATATTGTGATAAATTATAAAGACTTTCATTCTCTTCCATTTCATGAATTTCACAGACGTTTTTTTCAGAGAGTATATTGTTCTCTGAATCAAGATAAAAACTTGATTTTTTTAAACATTCCGTTAGTGACACATTTTATTGTAGGGTTATTTTATATTTTGTTCTTTATGTTTGACGAAGTTTATTTCGGAAATTGTATTATAGTATTGAAAGGACCTAAACTGGAAGCCAAAGAAAAAATACTAGATATATTTTTTTCAATTAAATGTAAATATGAAATGTTGGCCAAAAATAATGTCAAAAGTGACTTTGTTAGTGATATTTTGCAAGTTGTTACGCCATCATCCTTTTGTGTTTCTCTAATGAATAACATTTGGAATTATAATAGAAGGTTATTTTGTCTGGATCAATTATTTTTGAGGAAATTCAGTCATACAAAGTTGANCAATACTGTCCGGATTTTTAAATCTAACTGTTTGTTGTAAGGGAGCCGGGAGATTTCTTATAAGAGTTCTCAATGACATAACTTGATATTGTCGCCTATAAATAATTTTTGTTGCTTCATCCATTTCTTGAATACTATAAGAATTTATTCTTTGAATCAAATGACTACGAAGAACTTGTAGTCTTTTTGCAAAATCTAATGGTTGTTCGTTTTTGAAAGGTCTGGCTACAAGAAGGTCTTGTTCTAAACACTCCAAACTTCTCTTATCTCCAAAACATTGAATGAGCGCCTCTTTAATTAAGGCCCAGTTATTTAACTCTATTCTACTTCCTACTAAGAGATTGGCTCTACCAATTAATTTTGATTGAATGACCTTCAGTAAATATTGCTTGAAAATAGGATCTGTTGAATTTGAATAAGTAGAATTTAGAAAATCACAATTTGAAATGAACTGACTTAATCCGTTTTGATTGCCATCGTATGGCGTAATCATATCTACATATAATCTAAGCATACTAACGTTAATTTGTTCTGTGTTTCCGTTAGGCATTGTTTCTTCTAAAACCACAGTAGTATTAAAGTTATTTATTAAATTTTCAATTTCTGAATCAAGATTCATCAAAATTTTACGTTATTATTCAATGTAATATCCTATTCAGGATTGGATTTGAGAATGCTATAAACTGGTAACGTAAAATTTAGATATGACAACGCGCTTTACTCTCAATCATTATTGGTTTTACTATATGTCCAGTGAATATTCAAAGAACATTACCTCACTTCAACTACGCACACGAATTTATTCAGGCACATCACATGCTCATACCTCACCACTACACCTACCCTTTATAGAGACCAATCCCTTTACCAATATCTTTAGTACACATTAGCAGGAAATGTTTCTGAAAAGATCCCGCTAATTCTAAGAGAGAATTTTTTACAAGAGTGCTCAAACCATACTGTGCTATCTCTATTATTTATAAAGCATCCAAAAATTTGCCAGAAATCATTAGTATGACCACTGTGTCGAGGAGAGATTCATACATAAATACTTACTTCGAGTGAAATATTGATAGATAGATAGATTTATTGATCTCTTCGAATCATTTACATGACACACTCACACACAGAAGAGGCTCTTAATAGAATGTTTATGCCATATTTTATTTTCATACTTTCTAAAGCAACCGAAAAAAAATTGGTAGAATATGTGTGATGACTGTCGAGAAGAGATACGTACGTAAACAAATTCTTTGATTTTATTTCTCTGTGAGAAATCTTGCACAAATGTCTGTCGGATATAATTTAGTGTCTGTTGTGGTATTAACCAAAAAATAAATGTTTTCCGGTAGGCATTTGACAGATCCTACTGTGCTGGGTCGTTGGCAGAGGAGAGTATTCCAAATTCACAACCTTGGGTGACGGTCAATAACATTATTAGCAGTACCTTGCCTTTATACAATATTTGAGTAAGGTAATTTAGTACAATTTTGCTTTTGGTTCATCATCTTTTATTTTCAGTGCATACTCCTCGTAAGTGTCCTTTCAGTCTCCCTTCTCCCACTCTAAGAGCGTAACACAGCAAGCATAGAGCTAGTAATGAGACTTGGGGGCAAGGTAGATTACGAGTCATGTAAGTACAATTCCAAGTGATTCCTGGAAATGGCTCCAAAGCAGGAGCTGAAACGTTGAAAAGATGAAAATTAAAGACACGGTTCAACCCGGACAACAGTATTTCACCCAAATAATATTGTGAGCATGTTTTTGTATCTTAGATTCAAGATATGAACATTTGTTCGAAAATTTACCGGGTTACAGTTGACTAATATTTTTCTGAAAGAGAAATACATGAAAAATTTTCCGTTCTTCCATGTTCAACTTTTATCGGATTATAATAGATGAACGCCATTACACCACGTTAGCCTAGTTCGCATGCGATAGCAGAAGAGTTTCACATAATATTCGTTTGGATTTTCTGCTGCGATAAATTGTTTTAATATTACAATAGCCCGTTGTCAAAAGCAAGGAGATATGCGAAGAAAATCTTAGTGAGGGATACAATATCAGTCCAAGATTTTCAATATCATATTACTCGTCTCTCAGGAACAATGGCACGTAACCGATTTTGATACTCACGCTACTTTTTGATGAATCAACCAGGTACTCCAGATCATCATTAAGTTTTTGGCAACCATCAGATCTGAAAAATTCGTCTAGTTCCATGTTTATTTGCTTGTCGCCAGCATTGTTTGTTGGTGTGGTGAAGGCATTTTGGAAATTAAGACGTATACCGGGTGTCAACGAATCTATTAGACAAGTCATAACTTCTAGACTATTAGGTGTACAGATAAATGGTATGTGGAGAGGAGAGTTTTCACATATTTTTCACTTTCCGGTCACTTCCGGTTTCAGCGGAAATGGCTCCGGTTGTGAATTTTTAAATGGAAGACCCTGTATATTGTAACATTTTTGGATTTCTGAGACAATTCTGGATCAGAAACTGACATTTCCGGAAGTTTTTCAGCCTACTTGATTTTTTCAGAGTCACTTTTAAAATTGCATCTAGGTGGCCATGATCGGNCGGAAATGTCAGTTTCTGATCCAGAATTGTCTCAGAAATCCAAAAATGTTACAATATACAGGGTGTTCCATTTAAAAATTCAGAACCGGAGCCATTTCCGCTGAAACCGGAAGTGACCGGAAAGTGAAAAATATGTGAAAACATTCCTCTCCACATACCATTCAACTATACCAAATCTTATTTCAATTCTCCTAATAGTCTAGAAATTATGACTTGTCTAATAGATTCGTTGACACCCGGTATATGAATATCACGAATGTAAGAGGTCCCACAGTGTAACCCTGGGAGACAACATTGCTTGTAACAGTAAAATCTGATTTCGTATTATTTATTAATACACACTGGAAACGACTAAGTAGGTAATTTCCAATGATCTTTATGGAATGATCTGAAAACCTTAGCTACAAGAGGAGCTAAATTGTGTCAAACGGCTTGAAACAATATATCAAAACCTATGCATACAATTTGTTAATGTCTACCGAGGAATGAATATCATCTATGACTTTGACTACGGCTGTTACATAACTGTGATTGACAATCAAATTATCGTACCATTGAATTTTGTCCAAAAGTTTTTTAGTCCTATCTATATCAGTATTATCATATTTCTTTATGTGTGGTGAGTTCGCACCTGTATATTTACCATATAATGAAATATAATGAAGAGTATTGGGCCCAATATACTACCCTGTGGAATTCTCATGGACGTCTCCAAAGTTTCTGATCGTGCTGTTGTATCTTTCAAGTTCAGGTCTACAATTTGCTTTCTGTTTTTCAGATACGACTTCAACCAGGCATAGGAGTCCCCTCCCTATGGCTGTTTTCAAATCATTAGGAAAAATTCTTTGCTCGAATGACATATTTTTCAGGTGAGTTAAAGCACCAACTATTTCATATATACAAAATTTAATGATATGTATTGGAATATCATCAATTCCACAGCTCTTTGATTTTTGGAGGCTATCGATGTCTCAAAACCGCTCACTCAACCGATATTATTTGGTGTTGACTTAATTTTGACAGCAGAATTTGCAAAATGGTTGTTAAAGCTTTATAATTTCCTGACCAACATTATTGAAATATTGTTTTGAGTGAATTGAGTTTTCTCTATCATATTTAGTGTAGATGACCTCGTCTGGCTCGTAAATAACATCACCAGGACACACTGCTAGACAGATAAATCATTCATCGAAAAGTAAGATGTAAGTTACTGGTAAAAGAGTTGGTGAAATTTATTCAGAAACTCTTTCTTTGAACCTTATAGACTACCTTTATTACGATTACGGTGCTACCCACAAATGAACGGGGATAATAAAAATTGAATTTATTACTGGAAGGTCCTGTGTTACCATAATTCATTGATTCAGATTCAAGTACACACCCGTGAAGTTGTAAAATCACGTTTAACAAGGCCAGAGCTTCAGAGCGATATTTTTGAATTAACGATCTTTTAACACGATTCAGTTCACGAATCAGTTCTTTTTAGTTTTTGGTTTCTTATTCATTTTTTGTTAAATAATCTATTGACTTTGCATTGGGAAACACACTGAAATGTTGACCATGAATAAATCAACACATTTCAGCTGTATTTTTCTCAATA